CCTCTTCCCAGCTGGCCACAGCTGGCTTAGGAGGCCCCGATTAAGGAGGAGGGAACAGTGCTCACAAGCCTGGGCAGGTAAGTGAATACCCCTGGAGGCAGAGCCTGGCTTGGGGACCTTGGCATCCTGGCTCCCTGACCCTCTGGGTCCCAGAAATTTAGGGCCCCCAAGCCTAGGAGTCCAAGGCCTCTTCCCCCACCTCCCCCTGGACTCAAGAACTGAGGCCCCTGTTCTTGCCTCTCCTGTAATCTTTGATCTCTGTTGCTGGATGTGGCAATGGGCGTAGAGACAGAGGGATACATGTGGAATTAACAGGAGGCAGGGGATCCTGATCGCCAATGGCCATGGTTATGAGCACTTACTGTGTGTCAAAACTGTGCGGGGGACCGCAAACACAGAGCGGGGAAAGACGCTCCCGGCTCAAGTCTCCGGAGGCACGCTGCCTTTGCGGGAATCTTGCAAACCGTATACCTTGGGCAAGTTCTATGACCTCTCTGTGGCTCGGTTTCCTCATCTATAAAATGGGGATAATAATAATAGCACCGTTGTGAAAATTAAACTGTTATATAGGCAAGCTACCTTGAACCGTGTCTGGCCCAGAATACAGGCGAGGGCAGTATCTGCTTTTATGATTATAATTCACGGGCCACAGAGTCCAGGCAGGGAGGCCGTGCCTCTTTCCTTCGGGGCGGAGGCCTTTGTCATCTATACCACACCTCATTCCAGGTGGTCCACAAAATATGAGGGGCAGGGGCCACCCCTCTCTGCTGCTGCTGTACCTGGGGCTGACCACCTGTCTAGACACCTCACCCAGTGAGGAGCAAGACCAAGGTGAGTGTTTGGGGGCAGACTCCGACATCCACCTTCCCTGATCCTGGAACCCTTGCCTCTACCCCCGCCTTCCCCGTAGGTTCAGCTTCCTCCATATCTCTAGTCCTCCATTTTTCTGTCCCTCGTGTTCTTTGGGCCCAGAAGTCTTCTTGGACCCCCCCGAGGCCCAGAGCTACCTGGGCAGCCACAGGCGAATTCGTCGAGCCAATCACTGGGACCTGGAGCTGTTCACGCCAGGCAACCTGGAGCGGGAGTGTTATGAGGAGAAGTGTTCCTGGGAAGAGGCCCGGGAGTACTTTGAGGATAACACCCGGACGGTGAGAGCCTGGGGGGCCCTAGGCCCTGGGGTGGGGGGGTTTCCAGGCCCTCAACTCCCTCTACCCTCTGGTCTCGGAAATCTGGGTGGCTGGTTGGGTGTGTGGAATCTGCCCGCTGACAGCTTGTCTTTCCACCTTCTCTACTCCCACCCCTTCCAGAAGCACTTTTGGGAGACGTATATCCACAATGGCAAGGCAGGTGAGTGGGAGGCCACGCCCTCTGGGTCTGTGCAGCTAAGATAGTCCCTTCCCATGGAGACTGAACCAACACTCCCAGCCCAAATTCTTCGATCCCTGGGTCCCTGGAGGTGGTTGTTAAAAGCGTCCTCTCTCTCTTTTTTAATTAATATTTTTTAACTTTGATTTTGAGAGAGAGAAAGAGAGAGAAACATCAATTGGCGGCCCCCTGCACGGGGATCTGACCAGGAATCGAACCGGCGACCCCTTGGTTGCATGGGTCATCGCTCAACCACTGAGCCACACCAGCCGGGCAAAGTGTCCTCTCTTTTGAGACTAGAGCTGGGGCCTGAGGAACCCACCGCACCTCATGGCAAAGAGGTCCCATGTTCCCAGGAAGCAGGGAGTGAGGCTGGAGGGAGGAGCTACAGCCTGGGGCCCATCAGGCCTCAGACTCAGAGGCGCTGGCCCACCTGAGAGAGCCCCAGCCTTTCTGCAGCTTGGTTGCTAGGGGGGGGCTGTTCCCTAGCAACACGGCCTGGTCAGGCCAGGCCATGGAAACCTGTGCATCCTCACCGGACCAGTCCGCCCACCCTCCAACCCTCCCCTGAGCTGAGAGGCCCCGGCATGGCTGCAGCCTTGCTGCTAAGGGGGGGAGGGGCTGCTTCATAGCAACCAGGCCGGGCCTGGCTGGACCATGGAAGCCCGCCTGCCACCGCACTCGCTACCTGGCTGGCTTCTTCTCCCCACAGCCCAGCCCAGCCTCGGCCTGGTTGCTAAGGAGGCCTTCTCCCTAGCAACCACACCTAGCCACGCTCCGGACCCTAGGCCTCCTGCCCACCAGAGGACCCCTTGCCAGGCACCAGAGGCCCCACCCCCTTTGGGCCTGGTTGCTAGGGGTGGATGTACCATAGCAACAGGCCCTAGGTCTGGGCAGGAGTCCTCACATTGGAGACGGGTTGCTAGGGGAGGTAACTGCGTTGCTACAGGCCTATGGATGCCTGGTTACTGCTTGAATCCACCTGAAACATGTCAGAGGGGGCCTGCCTTCTCAGAGCAGCTTGTGATTAAGAAGCCAAAAGCCTGGGTTTGCTGTTTGAGGAGCCCCTCACCCCCGACCCAGTGCTAAAGTTGGGCTCCCCAGCAGCAAGGCCTCATGAAGCTGGAGCCCTCCCTGCAACCCCCCGCCCCCCACTTTTCCTCAGACACAAGCCTTGGATTGCTAAAGGGGCTGCACCTTAGGAAAGGGGACATGTGAGTTCTAGACACCCAGCCATCTGTTATTGGAGGAAGGTCCCTAAGTTCCTCCATTGGTAAATGAAAATTTTTTATTTTTTTAAATTAATTTCAGAGAGGAAGGGAGAGGGAGAGATAGAAACATCAATGATAAGAGAGAATCATATGTCGGCTGCCTCCTGCAGGCCCCACACTGGGGATGGAGCCCGCAACCCGGGCATGTGCCCTTGACCGGAATCGAACCCGGGACACCCCCCTCACCCCCGAGTCCGCAGGCCGATGCTCTATCCACTGAGCCAAACCAGCCAGGACAATAAATGAATTTTTTTTCTATCCTTCTGGTAAACTCCAAAGCCTTCCTGTGGGTTCTGCAGTTCCTCTAGAGTTGAGACCTTGCCCCTCAGTTGCCTGGTTGGTAAAAGGGGCTGCATGCCAGAGGGGGGCAGGGTTGCCAGATAAAATACAGGAACTACCCCCGCACTCTTCCTGAGTTAAATTTCAAATACACACGGATCATTTTTTTTTTTTTTAGTATAAGTATGTCCCCATTTAATAATATATGGGATATATCTGTATTTAAAAATTATTTGTTGTGTATGTAAAGTTTCGTGGGGTGTCCTATATTATTATTTGTTAAATCTAGCAGTGTTCAGTGTGAGGAGGGCGGGGGACTTGAGAGTTGGCCACCTGACCTCCCTACCTTACCTGTAGTGTGTCACCTGCAGCCTTAGCAGATGGATTGCTTAGGATGGTCTTGAACCACCCTCTAGGGAGGGGCTTCTGTCATCGTGGGGATACAGCTGCCGTATTTTCTAGTACCAGTTGAAGTTATCATAGGTCTTCTGTGCGTTTAATCTCATTGAATTTTTGCAACCTGTCAGAGAGGGATTATGGTCCCATTTTACAGAGCAGGAGATGGAGGCTCAGAGAAATGAGTGAGGTGAGTTGCCTCCGATCACACAGCCAGGAAGCAGCCCCAGCTCTGCCTTGCTTCTTGGCCAGTGTTCCTCCCTCAGGAGAAAAGCATTTGGATGTTGGGGTGGGTGGCAGCCCCTGGGGCAGTGGCTCCCTCTCCGCTCCCCCTCCCCCTTCCTCCACAGGGCGTGGACGAGTGGATGTAGCAGGCCTGGTTGTGGGGCTGACATCTGGCATCCTGGTCATTGTCCTGGCCGGCCTGGGAGCCTTTTGGTATCTACACTGGCGACGTAGCAGAAGCCAGCTACCCAGTCCTCAAGAGTAAGGGGACTTCAGGGGGGAAGGGGCTGGGGGGCTGGAGAGAAGGGGGGAGGACAG